ACAAAGATCTTTCTGTATATCAAAACAGCTTTCTAATTCATCAGTCAATTTTAGAGCTTCTTCAGAATTTACACTGTCCTTTGGAGCACTACGCTCAACTGATATTTCATTTTCATGCAAATGTGTACCATTATGAATTTCAGATATGGGTATATTCTCATGGCAATGTGTGGAGTCCTGCTTTTTGAGTTCCCTCCCAAATTGCAATAAGTTATTTTCTGTTGATTGTTGAAAATGTGAGAAAGCAGCCTTCAGTTCATCAACTTTTTCTATGACTGTAGTTTGTTTCAGAAATTGTAACTGTGTAAGTATTTCAGAACAGCTACAGGTAGCTTTTTGCATATCATCTTTGATTGTCCCAGTCGAACCATCTCTCAGATTCAGTACAAGTAGCCAAGCTAGGAGCACATTGGAGGAAGAACCAAAAGATGAAGGAGAAAGATCTGAAAGGCTGCAAGCTTTTCCTATACATCCACTATGTTCTTTCTGGAGACCAAGCAAAGCTGATTGCAGTTCATGCAGCAACATGCTAGACATGCAATTACTCTGAACATCAATTCCCATTTTCTCATTGGCAATTGCACAATCAACTTGAACAGCAACTTCAGATTTTTTTCTTTGACATAGGTTGGTATCTTGAATATCAACTTCTGACACATTGTCATGTGTTTCATGAAACAAGTGTAGCTTACCACCATGATGAAATTCTGACTTTAGTGAATACTTGGCTTCTTCTACTATAGTTGTATTAGCATGAATCAAAGAGTCAGTTTGTTTTTCACCTGAATCCTTGGCTGATTCTTCTAAAGTTCCCGATTCACAAATCGGCTTTAATGCTTTTTTGGTTAGATTATGTTCAAGCAGATGTTTTTTTTCAGTCACATGCACTTTATTTGTGATAAATCTTGCTTCTTTATCTATAGAAGCATCAGTATTTTCCTTAGGAAAATGACAGACATTGCTATTCTCTACGTTCCCTTTTTTATTTATAGGGGGCAAGACAGAATTTGGTGACAAGTTTTTCAGCCAGGTTTGGACATAGTTTTCAACTGAATGCTCAACAACCTCCTCTTGAAAATCCTCCTGGGTTAAAGCCTCTAATGTAATGGCTCTCTCTGACTTATTTAACTTATCTGCACTTTTATTTAGATTTTTCTTCATCCCCTTTTGCTTTTTCTCTTTCTTTGATGGTAAATTTTCCAAAATATTCTTTTCCTTTTCTTTTTCAAAATTAAGATTCTTTGGCACTTTTGACAATGGCTTTAAGATCACTGATGAGTTAGGTGTCTGTTCAAAAGAATTGGTTGTGAGATGTGTGCCATCTTTCTCGGTACTCTGTGTATCCTGACTGTGTTCAGATTCATTGTTTGAATCAACTGTCACTAGGCCATCTTCACTCTTTGCAGATGAAACAATATTATTTTTTTTACCTGACTTCATTTTTACCTTGGCCAACTTGTTGTTATTACTTCTAGGTTTTTTATTAGATGATAATCCATTTTGTTCCACTGAATCCTGGTGATAGAATTCATCTTCAGGACATACGCTTTTGCCTGAATTGACAGACCCATCATTGCTTTTTACAAAAAAATCCGTACCTTTTTTCTGAGGGATTTCAGAATAATTATCCATAGCTTCTGTTGTGGAATCCTGTGTGGTTTTGCTTGTGATATCCATTCCCTCACTTTTAATTATCCCTGAAATTTCTTTATCTTTTTTATTTTCATATGTACTTTGCTCTAGAAAGTTAGATGATTTTCTCCTCTTCTTTTTGGTGAGGGAAGATGCAGATTGGCTGTCATCAGTGAAATGTGTTGCTGTCACAGATTCAGTCCTGACACTGATTTGATTCTCACTTTCAGTAACAGTAGGAAAGCATCCAGTTGTTGGATCTATTTTCTCAGTAGAAGCTTTACTACATGGAGATACCATCACCTGCATCTGTCTATGTCCGGGACAGGCTGAATGCACTGAATCTTGAGAAATAGGTAATAAGTCAGCAGCTTTGCATTTCATTTCTTCTTTTGACTGACATAATTCTGAATATCTAACGAAAGAACTCACTGATCTTTTTATTTGTTTAACGTCATACGACTTACGGATGTGGTCTGCTGAAC